CTCATTACCATTAGTTATAGATTGTGCTGAAAATGATTTTGTGAATTAATATGTAAAACCAGTAGGGTTGTTTTTAAAAAAATATAAATTTTAGTCCATAATACATATACTCTCTTCTCTCTATATAGGCAAAGCATTTAGGTATTATATTTGAAATTAATTATTGCCACAACAAGCATTGTTGCTTCTAGTAAAATAGAAGAGAATAATTTTTAAAATTGGTCTTAGATTAAGGTCCTTGAAAATTTTGTTGAGGTCCTTGAAAAGTCCTGGAAAGTCCTTGAATTTCAATCTCATCATAGAGTGGGAACCCTGTAATTGCTCCATAATTTACCAAATGCTTGTATTTGCTTGATAATCAATTACTTATTGCGATGCACTAATGTCAAATTTTTATCATTTAGATATTGACATGGAGACAAATTTGTGTTTAGTCTAATTTCATTCATAAAATAATTTTAAAGATTGGAATTGGATAGAATTGTTTTTAATTATAATAATATGCTGTTAAAGCATAAATGTTAAGTTTGCGGAATATTATTTTAGGAGTTTATTAATTACATAATTATTAAATAAATAATTTTTCCTTAAAAATTATTTGTAAGAATAAAACATGCCTTCCCCTCACATGTTTTAAATAATTAATTGTTTTCAGATAGAACCATTTTTGTTTAAAATTTTACATGCTTGCGCCATTTTAAAAATAATCTTGTAAGCCTTAATTTGAAAACATTTTAAGTAGAACACTTATGAATCAAGTAATGAGTATGGCTCTTTTTTTTTTAAACCAATATTTTTATTTATGATTTCTTTGATTTATTACTAATTTTCCTTTTTTCAAGTTATTTGAACAAAAAATGATTATTCCATTGTCTTATAGTCGAGTTAAAAAGTACATTAGTTTAATCATACTTTAACTATGCTTCACTTACCATTTTAAAATTTTAAATGAATGTGCATCAATTTTTAAAATGGTAACTTTTTATTTTAAAGGAATACCCTCTTAACTGTTTTTACTATGACAGTTATATGCATCGATATATTAAACATATTTTAGTCATTAACAAAGAATGTTTATTTAATCAGGAATTTAATAGGTTATTATAATAAAGGGAGAAGAATTAGTATTTCTCAAATTTTTGGAAATAAACTCATTTCTTACAAATCAACACAATGATTTTATCTCTTATTAAATTTTTCTGCAACATAATGTTTTATACAGCTTAATTCGGTACAGCACTTACAAACCTTAAAGGAAGGTAAAGCATGTTATACAGATTAAAAATCACTTAACAACCCATATCCAGAAATGTTATCTTTTGTCACTAAAAGTACCTGCACTTTCTGAACTGTTTGTGTACATTTCAAGGGGTAATTGTCACTAAAAGTTTTTAACTGTAATTTTGTCACTAAAAGGTATCTAAAGTCTTACTTTTATACTAAATTTGCATTTCCTAATAGTTATTACATTTAAATGGACCCAGATACCTTTATCGTAATTAATGATTTGGTGACCAATTTAGCAAGCATTTCTGGTTAGTCAAATCATTAAATTACAATAAAGCACCTGTTCCTGGGTCTTATGTATGCAATTTGTCAATAATTTCTAGAAAAAGTTAATGTTTACATAAAAATAAATTAATGTTCCCTTTCAAATCTGTATGAACAAAAAGTACATAATTGGGAGGCGTCTCTAGTTGTGTGTGGTGAACATTTCCGGTAATGGGCTGCTATGCGATTCTCTTTTTCTTATGATATGCCCTACCACCCCTCCAAGTTCGTAACTACTAGACTGGATCACTCTTTATTATTATTCTTTGCATTAATAATATGTGTATTTACACTAGCTCACTGCCCAGTTACACCAAGAACAAATGCAACGACAAATTTTAATGGAAAGAGAAAGGTATGCACATATGGGAGGTCCCATGGCTCATCCATCCTCTCTTATTTCACCACATGAAGAATTTCTTAGGTAATTATAAAAATATGAATTTAATCTATATATGTTTTAATAATGCCTATCTATATATGTTTTATTTTTTTATTATGATGAAGAAACAAAATCTGGTTTATGTTAAAAATAAAGCAGCAATTAGCTGCAATCTCAATTTGAAATCATGTTTAGGTATTTATTTTTAAGTTAAGTAAGGGTATTGTTCTTACATTTAAACATAAAGTTGCACCAAAAATAATCATATATTGATTTTTTATATTATTAATATTGAAAAAGGTATGAACAAATGAGAGGTCCCATGCCTCATCCATCCTCCTTTATTTCTCAACATGATGAATTTCTTAGGTAATTATAGAAATGTGAATTAAAGTCTCTATGCATTTATTTATTGTGTTTCTCATTGTATAAAAATTTGAATATTAGTGAATAATAGAGTAAAATAGCATAACCGTTCCATACTAAAATCATGTTCTGTGACTTTTTTCTGTTTTAATCAGGAATGAAATTTTTGCTTTAAATCATTAAACTTTAGCAAAATAATAAAAAAAAAATTATCATTTACACAGTATATACAAAAAATATGCAAATAAAATCTTAAATTTAAGCAATTTGAAAGCAGCGATTTGGAAATTTAAAATATCCGAGATAAATTCCTTTTTTTTTTTTTTTTTTTTTTTTTAACAAAGTTATCTGGGCTGCCAATGGAGACTTAAAAGGCAACTGCAACCGCTATTTTAAAGGGAATGAGACTAAGGCGATTATTTTTGCTGAAATATAGTTAAAAAATGTATAGCAGTCAATTGCGAAAAAAAGACAACATTTTTGCACCGATTAGGTACTATAAAATAGCACAAACCAAGCCCAGAGGCGTGATCTCAAATATGCTAATTAATTATTGCTAACTATTTGTTAAGTTACAGATTCAAACACAAAAACGTGCTTTCTCTGAATAAACATACTTATTTTTGTGATGTAATTGAATTTTAAATATGAGGGGTAACAGCAATCAGTTCCCAAAAGTTTAGGCAATAGAGCAGTCAAAAATTCAAATCCCTTGAAGTTAATTTGACATATTTGGCCATATCTTTGATATTTTTTTAAGCGAATCGAAAGAATTTTGTACACAATTACAAAGTTTATTCAAAAATTAATTTTAAATGACAAAATACGAAATTTGAACTAAATTGGCCCAAAAATTCTGGAGAAATAGAGTTTTTAAAATATGGCCTTTTTGAGATTTTACAACTTGAATTTTTCAATTGATTTCGTTAAAAAAATTTTGATCTTTATTATGTTAAATAATAAAAAATAAATAAATATTTTTTTCAGGAAATTATGTCTGAATAAGGGAATTTTTTTATAGTTAAGTTACAAATGGCTGTAAAACTTTCCGACTAAACATGCAAAAAGTGAAAATAACATGAAAAGGCAGAAACGTTTGGAACCTCTCCCTACCCTAAACTTTTGAGACCATATTTTTCAAATTGTGACTACATATCGATGATCAAAAATATATATCTGTCAAAAAAAATATTAAGTTTATTCAGAAATAGTACATTTTATTGTCCATTTATATAATTTAATTAAAATTTTGCGCAAATTAATGACCACGTTCAAGATTACCTTTTTATCATTCAACAAAGGTACTTACTTTTTGATAATCAGGACATTAGATTATAATATCCTTTTTATTTTGGGCACTGTACAGAAGAACAGATTTGAAATAATTCATGGAAGGAGGTTGAAAAGAATCTGTTAGATGCGCATGAAAGATGTTTAATTGAAAATGGGGGGGGAAGCAGCAAATTTTAATAAAAAAAATCTTTTGCGATGAAAAACGTGAATATGAATAAAAAAAATTAGTGCAACTCTTGAGTTAAAATAGAAATAAATATTCTTAAAAATATTAAAAAATGATGTTATGTAATGATATATAATTTTTAATAGTTTTAGTATACTCATTTCTTTTTTTTTTTTTCTTTTTTTTTTTTTCATGCGACTTAACTCATTTATTGACTTTATCATTCTCGACAAATTTCCAAATTCAACATTTAGTTATTATTTTTGCATTGGTGAACTAAACAGAATTCATAAAATTTTGTCTGTGTTTAAAATTATTGAGTTCGGTATTTTAATTGTATTTACAACTAATTTTTTGATTTCATTAAACTTACCATGTAAAATTTTTCTTTGTAAATGTTATTTTATTTTATGAGAATTTCTGAAAACATCCACATAACATGTCTCTATACATCTTTAACGGATTGAGTTTAATGCTTTTGTATATTTTGAATAAGATTATTATTACATTAATTTTTCGAAGTGTAAGCATCTATCAGAAAAATATATGTATTTGGATTATTTTATATTATAATAGTATAAGTATTGTAAAAATAGATTAAGGCTGGAGGCTTTTTAATATCTGAAGCAGCCAAATCGACTGTTTTTAGAGTCTTACCCCAGTGGCAGCCCTGAGCTTTAGCTTATTAATCTTATAACTAACACATGGTGCGTAGCATTTTTTAAAAAGTTCTTAAAGGTGCTTATTTTCATTTTTTAAAAGCCCCTAAAGGTGCTTTTTTTCATTGGGTGTTTTAAAAAATTGCTTAATTTTCCCTTTTCGAACATAGATTTTTTTTCTTTACCATTTCGATTTTCGCCACGTATTATGCAAAAGTGTACTTTTCACATTGTTCACAATTCATTCAACCCCAATCATTTTACATGTTTGATGAAATCTTGCCATTCTACATATGCACCTACTGAGCTGGGTTCGGTGAGATTATTGCATTCTCATGTGCAACTCTGCCGCATTCTCAATTTCGGGCTTCTTTTTCCACCTTCAGATATTGAACCGAAAATCTCTTAATCATTTTATAATGGCTAATATCAAGAAAAGAGTTCTTTGTCAGAAACTAGTTAGTTAGTCATGATCATGTAAAGTCTTTGGAAAGTAATTTGCATTTTGTTAATGTTAACGTAGTGCTTTAAATTTTTTTTTTTTTTTTTTTTTNTTTTTTTTTTTTTTTTTTTTTTTTTTTTTTTTTTTTTTTGAGTGATTAAAAAGTACTTATTTTCTGGTGTAAAAAGTACTTTTATTAAAGGTGCTTATTTTTTGTTGAAAGATTTGGCTACGCACCCTGTAACATGCTTTAATTGTTTACATTCTTTATCATTTATTTTTTCCAGATTTAAAGGAAAGGAAATTCATTAATTAAATTGTTATTTTTATGAATTTGATAATTCTAAATGCTTGTTTACAGACAACAGCAGCAACGAGAAAGAGAGATAAAATTAAGAACGTTGGAAGAAGCTGCTCGAGGTGGAAGGCCCCCAATGAATTGAACATAAATATTTGGTTGTATATAATAGTGACATTTTTCTTCTCTTTAGAAGAAAATTTATATACATATATATATTTATTGAAAATCTGTGTTTGTAGATATGACATATAAGCTAATCTAGTTGAAATTCAGTATTTTTATTGTTGGTTTTAATTATTTCTTGTTATTTAACAATACTAATGTAATATAGGCTTAAGATGGAGAAAAGTATTTTTATTACCAGTTAAAACTTAAATTCTAGTTAACTTGCAGCATATACTAGTATTCAGTTTTTGGCATATGACAATTAAATATTATTCTCCATTTTATCTCCTTTGCTAACAGTCAGTATTTATGTTGCTTTGTTTTTCTATTAAAATCTCTGTATCAGTTTCAAATATTCCATGGTGATTATTCTGCAAAATTGTTTATTCTAAATTGATGAATGTGGTTATAAAAGCCCTCTAGTACAAAGATACATATCTTTTTTTAATTTGCGTATTCAAATATTTTATATGGAAATAATTTTAATAATCATCTTAGCTCTAAACTCTTTTTTAGAGTATTTTATATGCCCTGTAGCTTTTAATATTTTCAATGCACTTGATGGTATAACTATATTAAGACCAAAAAATAGTAAAGACATCAAATTAGTTTATTTTCTTTTTTTTCTAAAGCTGGATGTTTTTAAAAGACCAATATTATCAGAAATCAATTTTGTATGATCTGATGTATTCTGTTTAGAAGAGCAAAAATGTATGCTCAACATGTTTTAAAATTAGTTGTTTTCATCCTGTTTAAACATCAACAAATAATGGTGTTAACTGAAAAAAACAAGACAATGTTTAAAATGATGACTAATTTGTAACTATTTGGTGCAGTCTATGGACTGAAGTAAGACTAGAACCTAATGCAGAAAACATTGTTTTATAGCTTTTTTTTTCTCTTTTTTTATTTAACAATGTCATCTGTTCACAAATTTAATTGCTAACTTTAAATGTTATGAGAATAAATTACACCTGGTTTCCTTAGCAGATCCAGCTAACCATGCATTTATATCTTCTTCTTTTTTCTATTAAATTTTTAAATTATGTATTTTTTAAAGGACACCAGATAAATCCAAAGCATGACACTGCATAATAATAATTATTAATTTATTTATTAATAATATTAGAGTAAGTAAATTAAAAAAAACAAACTTTTGCAATGTACAAGACAATGATCATAGTATTTATGTTTAATTAGCAACATTATCTAAAATGGATGTAATAGTTTCCTGTTTAACCAAGTTATGCTATAAAAATGATTTAAAACATGATATAGTTGGATTATGTTTGTATTATAGTGATATTTTGCAATTGTATATAAATGTATGTAAATTAATTTTATATTTATTTTTCAGTTCCAATATTTTGTTAATTATTAATTTTGCTGAATAATTTCTTCAACCCCTAATTATTTAAATGTAACTTTCTCAAATTCATTCATAATTTATCTGTTAACACATGAAAACGTGTTTTTTTATTAGATTAAGAAAAATAAAGGCTCAAAGCTAAATACAATAAAAAAGAAAACTCTTTTTGATTTTGTCTAAGTCTATATTGGAGCTATTCTTGTCAAAAAGTAACATGTTTTAGCAATCTATTATATTTTTTTTAATTCTTCGAGAACTTGTCATTCAATTGTGTGAAAAAGTATTTATGAAAAATGATTGCCTCTAAATGTTCATAACAGTATTAAATATAGCTTCAAAATAAGAAATCAAATTTTTAGCTTTGTCGCATTTTTTAAATTGTTTTACTAATTAAAAAATTGTGTGACAAGAATGTTGATTTTTATTTTTTAAAAATATTTAAATTGTGTTTTAACTTTCTACTGTTACTGATTAAGATTTACTATCTGGTTCAGTGTAAGATAAACATTTTGTTGACTAAAATTTTTAATGGACATGAAGGCTATGGTAAAAATTTCTTAGAATGTGTTTGAAGTAAATTTTAGAATTGTAATAATTATTTAAACTTAAAACTTAGCTGTAATTTCGTTCTTCAGATTTTTACACGTTTTCTGATCAAAAATCTTAAGTATTTACATAACTGTGGTAGAATATAAAACTTATTCCAAATTTGTGAAAAGTAATAATTTTAAATCATATAATTAAATTGTAAGGTTTAATATTGCGAGCTATATGCTTAATTTTGATTTTTGAAACTTCAACAACTTCGCTAGTTTTGTTTTCCCTTCTGTTTTCATAAGTTTACCAGATTATTTTTATATTAAGATGCAGGCTGAAGAAATAATAATTTTGCTTTAAAATTTTAATATTTTTGTTGCATTCTAAACTTTAAATTCTTATAAAGTACTTTAAAAACCAGTACAATAAGATGCATTATTTTTGTCATTATTTGACATTTTTTTCTCTAATGTATTTGCTGAAATTTTTATATTTAAAACTTTCTCTTTTTATACTCCTTTAATTAAATGATTTTTAAAAATCCTTTTTTGCAAAATATTTTATTGTATACTGCACTTCTGATGAGTAATTGAATTAAATCATTGTCTCATGATAAATTCCAGTTTTTGTAATCTATGAAGAATTTATATATATAGATTCTTTAACATTCTTTTGCTTCAATTAAGATACTTTAAAAACTAATTTTTTTGCAAATATCTGTCAAAATTTTATCAAAGTAAACTACTCTTAAATTTTTTTTTTTCAATGCTCACTTGGGGAATGCCTACATCATACAGGCATCTGAAGGGCAAATTTGTTGGCCACTTTTTCTAGGGCATTATATTAGGCAGGCCAACATTGCTCCCACAGTAAGGACAGATAGAACAGATAATTAAAAAAAACATCCATGCTTTGCCCGGGATTCAATCCCAGAACCTTTCTGATGCAAGGTGAGTTCCCTGGCCCCTACACAGGCCGGGTGGAACTGCTCTAAATTTGGAATGAAATATCAAAACTCAATAAGTCATCTACTGAACACTGTTTCTCTCCATCTTTTTAAAGTTTTCAAATGTCCTCGGAGTCAATAGAACAAGAAAAAACAGAAATAAGACTTATAAGGAATGGTGTAACCGATACTTTAATATCGATATATACATATTTAGTTAATATGAGCAAATGAAAAGTTTTATGCAAAAAAACATAATGGGATAATTGATATACCTAAAATAAACATGTATAACAATTTAACAAGACAGTTAAAAATTGTGTTTAATATCCGCCAGGTATGACAGCTTTATTTCGATAGGTATGTTGGTAATAGCTAAAAATAAAAAAGTGAGCGAAGCTGATCAATCAATCATAACAGGTGGGCTGAAAAGTTCGTAGGCTAACGTAGAAAAAAAAATTGTGATAAAATTTCATTTTATTTTTCAATATAGTTTCCTTCAAGGGCGATACAATGATTATAGCTGTCATATAATTTTTCGATACCATTTTTATAGTACGATTTGTCTTTAGCCTCAAAATAGGGCTTAGTTTCGGTAACTACTTGTTTATCGGCGCTAAATTTTTTTCCAGCGAACATTCTCTTGAGGTCTCAGAACAGGAAAAAGTCGCTGGGGACCAGATCTGGAGAATACCGTGGATGCGGAAGCAATTCGAAGACCAATTTATATAATTTTGCCATCGTTTTCATTGACTTGTGACATGGTGCATTGTCTTGATGAAACAGCACTTTCTTCTTCTTCAAATGGGGCCGTTTTTCTGCGATTTCGTAGTTCAAACGGTCCAATAACGCTATGTAATAGTCAATGTTGACGGTTGTTCCTTTTTCAAGATAGTCAATGAATATTAAACCATGAGCATTCCAAAATACTGATGCCATATCTTTGCCTGCTGACTTTTGCATCTTTCCAAGCTTTAGAGTTGGTTCTTCTCGTGCAGTTCACTCGCTGACGATTGATTAGACTCCGGTATGAAATTATGGAGCCATGTTTCACCCATTGTCATTTATCGACACATAAATTCAGATTTATTACGATTAAACAGCTTCAAACACAGCTCAGACTCATTAATTCGTTGTTGTTTTTGGTCAATTGTGAGCTCGTGTGGCACCCAATTTGCCTAGAGCTTTCTCATACCCAAATATTCATTCACGATATGTCTTAACACTTTCCTTTGATATCTTTAGAGTCTCAGATATTTTGATCAACTTCATTTTACGGTAATCTAAAATTATTTTGTGAACTTTTTTAATATTTTCGTCGCTAACAGCCTCTTTGGGGCGTTCACGGTGCGCATCTTCGTCGGAGTTCATTTCGCCTCGTTTAAACTTAGCAAACCACTTCTCAATGGTTGATTTTCCTGGTACAGAGTTCGAATAATGTTTCTCGAGCCTAGCCTTGGCGTCATGAGTAATTTTTTTTCGCTGGAAAGCAATGCTTTATAAACACGCGAAATTCCGTTTTATCCATTGTTTTTAAACTAACAAAAGTTGCTTCACTAAAAATACTATATCTCACAAACTTTTAGTCCGGCAGCTGTCAAATTTATACATGTGTCTTTCGAAGGCTAGAACTAACTAAAAATCATATGTTTTTAATAATAGCAGCCCCATCTTTGTGTCAGCCTACGAACTTTTCAGCCCAACTGTTACAATGGCTTTTTTTTTTACCAAGATTATTTTTTTTGTATTTGAAAAAAATGTTTTTTTTTTCTTTTTTGAATGACCGATTCCTCTGTGAGAGATTTACATTATTATTCGTTAATAAAGATTTTTTTTTTGTCCTTACCTTATTAGATTTTTTTTTTCTTTTTACTAAAAATAATTGTTTTTGTGCCTTTTTCTAAAAAAAAAAAAAAATTTTTTTGTCTATTTAAGATGCCTGAAAATTATTTAAAAATATATTTCTGTTAATTCTAATGAAAATAATGTATAGTTAACAAGGAAGTCCATTGAGAGTCAATCATAGTTTATATTCATTTTAATGGCAAAAAAATTATTATAATAATATATATGTACTTTAAAATGGTTGCAATTCTGTATTTTTATATTTCAGCACGAAATTAATGTAAATATGTAATCAATTAAAATAAATGTTTGTATAAACTGTATATATGAATATGATTGTTAGAAACAAAAGATAGTATCGTGTTGTGTATAGCTTGATCTTTTTTCATAACTTTGTGCATTTAATAAGTACAGCTTATAGACTTTTTTGAAATATTTACCAAATATTTGCAGTCAAACTAAAGTTTTTATTTATGAAAGATTATGTAGATTTTTAAATGTAGAATAAAATATTTTACAACAATGATCTGTCTCTTTGGGAAATATCCTGGGGGTTATAGTTGTCCAATTTTTCTTACACTATTTTTTTTCCTTAGTCCTCCATTTCTTAATTTTCAGCCTATCATCACTTCCCCAAAATCATTACCTAGCTTTTCTTATGTGCCAATATTAATTTTCTCCATTTGCACATAGTGGTTATTTCCATCTTGACTTAAAACCAGCTGGTCTGCCTATACGAACTCACCGCTTTGCAATTCCAAACTGTTCTTTGCCTGCAACATATGTTAATTTATCGGAACATGCTATTTAGCATTACTGTCAAGCAGGTTAATTACCCTGATTAATTTAAAATACTAAAATGTATTTCTTCTAGTTTTTTTTTTTTTTTTTTTTTTTTTTTTTTTTTTTTTTATCTTATCTTATAAAGAGCACGTGGACCAAATTCAAGAATTTCATCTTGAAGGGGAAAAAATTATTATTAAGCAATGCTGCCAATTAGGCTGATTACTCAAATTATTATTTCAAAACATCCTAATATTAGCAAAATTAATTTTTTTTTTTAGTTTTTTGCTTATTTTATAAAGAACGTGTGATTTAAATTTGAGAGTTCAATCTTGGTAAAAACTTGCTATTTAGCATTACTGTCAACTATACTAATTGTCCTGAAATTTACAAATATCAAAAAAAAGACTTTTTACTTGCCACTATTAATTTTCTTCTTTGGCACATAGTGATCATTTTCACCTTGACTAATAAAAATTAACGAGATCGAAACTTGCATAACCTTGTTAAGTATAATCAATGTTCCCATGAATCGGGAAAACCAGGAATTGTCACACAATTTTATTTTGACAATTAAAAAAACAGGAAAAGTTGCTCTTTTTTTATAGATACATGGAAAATTACTGCACTTTTTCTGAAAAATTGTCAGTAACACTAATCTGTTATTGAAATTCTATTCAATTAATTTTAACATCTATTAAAATTATTTGTTGTAAAAATTTCACATTTTAGTGAATCTTTTCCATGTTTTCATCCTAACTCTATTTTTGCTCACAAAATATAATATTGGACATGCAATGCAACTAAGAAAAAAACTAAGTTTTTCGAGGAGAAATTGATCGATCAAATTAGATCTGGATAAGTCCCACAGTGGACTGATCGTTAAGACACAGTTCCCAGCAGATCGCCGAAGTCAAGCATCACTGGCTACGGTCAGTGTGCGGGTGGATGACCACTTGGATCAGTCTGCTTAGGGACCGAGGGTGTGCGGTATTGGTAGTTGGGCTGCCGATGCGGGGGTGCCATCCCCTGTGCAGAGGATCGAAATTGTGATGGGATGTCTTCGGATCATTCTCGGGGATGTTTCCCAGGCCATCGCCAGTTGCCCATTGTGCAGCTCTAGAACGACGTAAATGAACAACGACAACCAGATCTGGATAAATTGAAATTTGTCCGAAATGCCCAGGATTTTTTTCTGAAATTAAATGGGAACTTAGTGAATGTGCCAGTATTAAAATTTATCAACAAGTTCTTACTGCTTCTAATTTAATTGTACTTGCGCTCTTGATTTCTTCGTAATGCCTGAACTAGTAAGCTACAACAAGGTGGTGTTTCATTTATTATTAATCTTGTTTAACTAAATCAATCTTAAAATCCATTTATTGAATTAGAAAAGAAGCATTAGACGAATCTAATGATGGTAGGGGAAAAAATGAAATGATTAAAAAAAAAATTATGAATAGGAAGCAATTACAAATGAGTGAGAAGTGGTTGGTGAGCTGAACTTCCGAGTATAATTTAAAAAAGTATTTAGATAAAATTCTTAAAATTTCTGTCCGCGCACTTCAAAGTAATCTTTGTAAATAAAATATTACTATTCAAAAAACATCTAGTTCCATTTGAATAAATATGATTAAATTTGAACTATCGATGGGAATGAACCGTCTTTGCTGAAATTAATGCAATAAATCTCATTAAATTTGAACTCATTGGGCTGAATCAAATGAGTCATTAAGTTTATTTAATTTTTAAAAATAACATCACCACTTAGTGTTTATATCGCTATCTTTGTCTTCGAAATATAATATTTCTAAAGGTGAATCTAATTAAGATAAGACAATCAAATACAACTAAAAAAATAGTTGTTTAACCCCTTAACGATCCGTTAGTTTTCAAGAAAACGGTCATAAAAGCTTTTTTTTTGTATTTGATTAGTGCAGACATCTAGTTTAAAATAAACTAACTATCTACAATTACCTTAAAAATATCCTGGTACTGCCATCTTGTGTAAAATGAGAAATAAAATGTTTTCCGGGCAAAAGAAATGAATTAGTTTTATTCTTGTTGGCGTGTTACTACTGATCACTCCAGCCCGTCAATATCACGGGAGCGAGAAATATAGGGCGATAATTCACCCCGTCATTTTCACGGGAGCGAGAAGGAAGGGGTTAAATAAAAAATTTATATACATTTTTGTTGTTTGAAGAAATGAGTGGCAGAGTTTTCAAATTCAAAGGGGGTGTCCTCATTAGCCTTTGGAACGATGGGCACCCGTGTTTCATATTAACCTCTGCCTTTGCAAACTTACAAAATTTGCTCTAGTGCCCTGAAAGCATTGCATTTTAATTTTATGTACAAATTTTAATTTTGAGATTCACAAGATCACCGTTTTGCACATTTTAACTCACAATACAGAGGATAAAAGCGAGTAGCACTGATCCTCTCAATGCACAGGAGCCGACCGGTATCGCGCACCACACGCTGTGCAAAGTGTGGAGGTCCATGTCTCACTAAAATATTTCCAAAAGAATGCTTTTATTTTGCAGCTAGAACATTCTTATGCCTTTCCGACCGCATATTTCTTTTAATAATTAGAAACCGGAAGTATTTTTAAAAAATCAGATCTTTAGAAACGACGGGATTGAGATGTAAGTACTTATTGAACCAAATATGAAATAAAAAGCCTGATGAAAAAATAAAACGGCTATTTAGTTTCTTAGCCTATTTACTTAGCTCCATTAGTAGGTCGGCTAAATGGGGGAGTACGGTAAGTAATGGCAAAGGAGCTTTTGAATCATATCACGGGGTTCTGAAATTAATAATAAAAAAATATTGACCTGAAGAAGATAATCTTTAAGGACCTGACTTACAAAAACTGAAGAATCACATCACACAGAAATTGGACGAATACTTAACTACGTCACTTTTTTTAAATAAATCAAAAATTAGCAAACTTGCACTTTCATAGAAGGTACTAGGTTCGAATCCCGCCATTCTGTTTCAAATATCAATTAATAGCGTTTTTAATCATATATTAGGAGAGAAAAAGTTATTGTTTGTTAAAATAAACCGTATTTCACAAATCTTAGTCTTAACACAGATATCATAAATTTTTGGAAGGTGATATAAAGTTACCTTGCCTTCCTCTGTTCAAATTAAGAAAGAAATATAAATGACAGTAGAGGATTGAACAAACAGACTTAGAATGAAGTGGCCGTTAATCTCACGTCCTGTACTGCGGGAAATAGTGTTTTAAGTTTGCGTTTGAAATCCTGCGCATTCAATTAAAATAGAACTAGTTCATAATAGAGTAGCACAATGAGCTATTGGCGACGGTCTGGGAAACATTCCTGAGGATGACCCGAAGACATGCCATCACAATTTTGATCCTCTGCGGAGGGGAAGTTACCCCCACTTCGGTAGCCCAACGACCTGTACGTGAAGTCGAGCACTTCACGGTAGAACAGTTTAACGAGGACCAATACCGCACACAGTCGATCCCTACTCAGACTGATCCAAGTGGTCACCCACCCGCACATGGCTGCGGTCAGTGTGCGGGTGGCAGTCAAGCATCACTGCAGTGATGCTTGACTTGGTGATCTGCTGTGAACTGTATCTTAACGATCAGTTCACTACGGGACTGAAACAGAAACTTATGGTAGGAAGATTCACTTTTACTTGAAGTTGAAATTGAGGCAGAAATCAAACCTACCAATGGATACAAATTGATCCATAGGTGACATGGAAAACTAAATTATAGATAAAATTCAAAAGTCTGTGTCTGAGTTGGATGAAGAAAAGGATCTTTGCTCATCACTTTCATCCTCTATGCTGTGAGAAATTTGAGATTGATGATGATGATGGAGAAGTGAGGATACAAGATGATCATAATGAAGAAACATTAAACTAATTCGAGGTAAAATTTACAGTGTTCCGAGAAATCAAAGTACATAATTCTGTGGTTCCAATACTTTTGGAGAGATTGAGTTGATGATAATGAAGTGTGATATAAAACGATTGTGAAGATAGGCTTTAAATCAATACGGTGCTAACTGCTAAGTTTGCAGTTTCCTAGAATTCGAAAGCAAAAATTTTGAGGTTCCAATACTTTTACAGCTGAGATCATACAAGGTTTGGACACAAACTTGTAAGATTTTAGGGAACTTTAATATGCGCAGCCCGATAACCACCAAAATAATTGGACTAAATTGCGAGATAAGAATCAGAAATGGCCTAGACGTCATACAGCTCCCTAGTGACTTAGTTGTCATGACTCACCTAGTTCTGCTTTCAACAGCAGTTTTCTCAATCCAATAAGTGCATATCTGAAGAGTAAAATGGGAGATGTCCGGACTTTTCTGCCCCTTACCCCCACAAAAAATTTAGTTGCTCTTTTTATTTTCATGTTAAATTCTAAACCTTTTTCAAAATCCAACTAAATATGAAAATAATCGATATAAAAATTTTTTGTTAAAGCTGATAACAAACTGAAACATTAATCATTCTACTGGACTATCCGAACAGTAATAAGTACTGTTAACTTTTTTTTTATTTAAATTATTGAACTACTACTCTTGCTCCACAAAGTATATCATGAGACTTAGAGATATAAGTGGACAAAGTACAATTCTAAATTAAAACGAGAATGAGAATACAATTAATTAGACTTGTACTTTTTTTATTCAAAATTTATCGCAAGTTTTTTAACTATTTTCAGGATTTTCTGTTAGCAATAACATTACACTAATTATCTTTTTTTCCCAAATCAGAAATAATTTAATAACTTATCAATTCCTTTGTCTTTTGAGGCGTGTTAAAGTTTATAGAGATATGATGAATTGGCTGTCTAATGAAAAAAATAAAACTGTACTTATAAATGTAGAAATAAAATTCAAAGATTAACACCATTGTAACACCATTTATTTAATTTCAAAATTTTATACACCCGAATTGACTGCCTAATGAAACTATACATATAAAAGAAATAAAATTATGAGTTCAATGTAACAACATTTATTTAATTTTAAAAATTTGTACGCATAATTAATAAAACTACAACGACAGTTACTTTATTCATATTATTGAGTTTCTCCTCTTGGCATTATGGCTTGACTCAGTTTTTTTTTAAACCAAATCTTTAGGATAAATACTAAAAATAAAATGTTTTTTTTTTTAAACCAAATCTTTAGAATAAATACTAAAAATAAAATGTTTTTTTTTTTAAACCAAATCAAATCATCAATATATGTAAAATCATTAAACTCAAGAAATTTAGCTTAAAAAAAATTTGGTTTTGAAAAAAAACTAATTAGAATTGCTTAAATGTTGAATATTTAGATTTTAAAATTGATATTGTTGATTAAATAATTAAAATTGGTGTTTTTGATAAACGAGAGGCTTTTAAATTTAAAGTTTATTTTTTTCTGTAACTTTAATACTAATTTGAGCAATAAAATTTTCAAAAATTTAGTTTTTTCTCAATTGTTTAGAGTTAAAAAAATGTTTTCAAGAGGCTGTGAATAATTTTTTGAGAAATAATGATTTTCCTTATAATTATTGTAATGTTAAATTTTTGATTAGGAAAATGATTGAGGAATATTAGTTCATTATTTCTTTTAACAGGGCGAAATTAAAGTCTCGACTGAGCAGCCCCAGTTAAGCATTATATTAATCTGTTACGCAATCTTTACCTTTCCTATTCTTTTTTTCTTCCTACTGCGCATTTTAATAGAAGGTGTTTTCTTTTATATCAAATGCAGGGTTGGCAAGTTTTTGACACATGACGGTTTTTACTGTCATGTCAAAAACCCATAGTTTCGATAAAACTGTATTTTAGTTTGAGTTTAACTGCTTATGATTTAAAATTAATTCATTTTTGGGCAATAAAATTAGAAAAAATGAAATGAAAAAAGTGAATGTTTTGTTTAGCTTATTTCTAATATTTAAGAAATGCCAAATTTTAAATTCTTCTTTTTAGTTCTTGAATTTATTAATAGTTCCAAGTTTTTTTGTTTGTTCGTTTATTTCTAACTATTAAGAAGTGCAAAATTTTAAATCCTTTGCAAATCAAGCTATAATGATAAAAGTTAAGTATCACTATTTTCAATAAGTATATTACAATATTTCTGTATGAATGTATATCCTTCTATAAGAATACATGTATATAGTTGCAAAATCAATAGCAATCATTTACAACACTCATTTATAAAGGCAATTAAGTGAAAATAATATATTGTCCGCTATATGCCATAAATTAAAGAAAACAGTAGGTTTTTGAAGGTTTTTACCACTGTCATTTTAAAAGCCAGTTTTTGACGGCAAAAACCCAACCCTGATCAAATGTTTCTTTCACAATTAGTTAGTTTCATGAAATTGCTGTTTGACCAGTTTACTGTGAGTTTTTGTATTTTCCTTTTTGTATTATATTCTCAAGATTTTGTTTGAAATTTCTCTTCTGATTTGATTTTATGTATTTCTTTCTGGACTTTTGCAAAACCTTCGGGGTACTGAGGAAGCAAATTCTGACATTTGTCTGGCTCTCTCAATAGAAAAAGTTTTGTTCTATGGCTTCCGGAGCTGATAACCCCTGAAGACGTCGGCTTCGGTGGCCATATTTTTATTTCCATTGTTTTCTTTTTTCTTTATTGATTCAATTATTCTTTCTTTTGAAAATACTGCTGCTTTGCACGTTTTTTACAAGGAAAGTTCTGTTATTATAGAATTAAATATTTTGTATTCTTTTACTTAAATTTTTGATACATCATAAGCCATGTAAGTCAAAATTGGAAATAATATAAGCACTTACATTTAGCGAAGTGAAAAATATGTATATAAGTCTTAATCTAAAGAAGATTTTTTTAAAACCATTATTTGTAACTACTTAAACTATAAATACTCAACATACTGCAGTACTGGCAATAGCACTATCTACATAGGAATAAGAGAAGTACTTTACCATCAGCAGATATTTTATCATCCAAATTTTTTTTTTAAATTACGAAGAAATTAAGAGAACAACAGATTTTTTTCAATAAATATGGAGAAATTTGAGAATATACGTATAAACCAGAGATTGTCGTAAAATACAAGAGTTTTCGTTAAAAAACGAGAGACTTGGCAGGTATGTAAGACCATATTTTGCTAGCAAACACACAATAATTTAAAACCAGACATAAAAACCACATATTTTAAATCTTGTTTTAAAATGCATATTTGTTTACAGAAAACAATAATTACCAAAAAGGACAATAAACTTTCATTCATTCCTCTTATTTTAGGCCTTGATAGCTAAAACGCTAAGTTTTTAATAAATAACGACACAATAGATTTAAACAATGAGATTTATTATTTTTATTTTTTTGTTTTTAACTATACACTTTAAATTAAATACTTATGCATAGTGTTTTGTACAACCTTTGACAGTGAGACGTATCTTATAACAATATACATGGAGAATATATAACTAATTCTTACAAAAGATACAAGCCATAAATAAAAAACATTTCTGTGTTTTTAAACACAGTATGAGGTAAACTTTTAACTTTGGTAAAGAACATGCTTTCTAGAACATAAAAATTACAACAAATAAATGCTAATAAAGTACCAACTGCTCTGTTTCAGGAAGCCCAGAAAAATATTACCTCAGTACCTATATTTGTTTATTAGGTACCAATTATTAGAATATGAATAGTACAATTTACTACAGTTAATTAAGCCTCACTAGCATCATTAATAACTTAGAGGGGGAAATTTATTAATTAGTATTCAATTCTGAACAAAGGTTTTAAGGACCCCGAGAACAAAATCTACAGCTGGCCCCTTCCTCAAAACACAAAAATAAACATAACATTATAGACATAAAAATTCTCCGCAAGTTTTTTTTTTTTTAAAAATTAATAAATTATAAACTCCAAAATAGTTTTAAGACATTTTAGTTGGACCCTCAGCAGTCCTGAGCACACCCCCCCCCAGACTAAATCCAGCCAAACTTTGTCACAACCAGACAATGGATGCAAAAAACTAAAAAAAAGAAAAGAAGATAGTTCAAAGAATTTTAATTTAAAAACTAAAGATCCTTCGACGCTTTTGAAAGTAGTTGGCTTGAACAGGTGCTAATATGAAAATATCTTGATTAGTAATCTGTTTAATGGCTCACGAAACAAAGTACTACAACTACTAATAAAATTTAAAATAAAATAAAAAACAATAATCAGTCACTATTTTCAGGAGAATCTTTTGCCTCCCTAGCTGCTAATTTAGCTTTCAATTCTTTAGCTGGTTTGAAAAAACCAGAAGTTTGCGTACCACAAACATAACATCTGGAACTTTTTTTGTACTGCTCTAGAGCGCACTTCTCACAAAAGTAATGTTGGCATTTAGTTACAACAGGTTCAACAAAAGAACTGCGACAAATGAAACACTTGAAAGGCAAATCATCTTCATCAGAACTTATTTCATATTTTGTATCATCTTCAGCCCCATAGGTATTGTTTGCCATTTCTAATTCTAGTTGCCAACCATGTTTATGATCTGAACGGTCATGCAAAAACTTACAACTGTCACCAAAGCCACAAAAACCAGTTTCTTTATAATCTTTACAAATGTCAGGTTGGTAATCCCATCTAACTGTAGATCTGATATTATCAGGTGCTCGTATGGGTCCTTTTCTGACCATACCACTAGATGCATTACCCTGTGCAGTATCTTTTATTTTGCTATATTGAGCATAATTGTTAATACCTCTATATACTTTATCATCAGCTTTGTCTTTGAGCTCGTCATTAATTTTTTGTGCTTTCTCGAATATTGCTTGAGCATCTCTGTCTTTCTCAGTCTCAACTTGATTATATGATGTAGCACCCATATCTGATGGGCCAACTCGAGCACTTGTCTTGTCGGATTTATACGCTACCAAAGCAGGTTCATCATCGTTGTCGTCTACCACAATGTCCCGAGTTTTCTTTTTGCTTTTGTTTGTACTTTGAATCATGGGATTACTAAAATTGGACTTTTTTTCTTTTTGTAAAACTCTAGTTTCATCTTCACTACTTGATGCATCACTCCCGCTTATTTTTCTTTTTCGTATGTTTCGTTTGAATGATTTTTTGAAAACAACACCTTCCATATTTAGAACAAACTTTGAGGATATGAAATATTTAGATTGTAGAATGATAAAACGATCATAAAATATTTATTTATTTTCATCTGAATGATGCACAAAATGATGCAACTTTACGATGTGTAAATGAGCAGCTTGTCGCTTACATAGTTTATTATGCCAACAATTAAGATTGGTAAAAAGATTACAAGCACAACTGCTTGATCTCATACTCTTATGACACAAAGCAAACTGTTTACACTGAGATTAAAAAGTTTTTTCAGTTTAGCATTTCTGGGAACGAAAATTAGAGTAAAAATCATCTCAACGAGTTCGATGCGATTGCGCATTGAATCCTTGAGTTTTTAATTCTGGAAAAACTATTTACTGTATTTCACGTGTATTTGTTTTGGTTAGCGAAATACAAGAACACGATGGAGGAAAAGATCAATGCTGAATTCCTTTATAATGCATTTATAAAAAACGATAACTCCTATAAGTGTATGTAATTTTCTTCTATACTTCTTCTAATTCTGTATAAAATTACTTTTATTTCTCTATGTAAATTAAACCTCGTATATTATTCTATAGCAAGTTACTTAAATGATGATTCTTATAAATCTACTGTTTTTATATTATAATCTTTAAGTTTAGTTACTAATCTTGTTTTTTCCAGATTTGCATAAATTTGTAAGCTTTGCTGAAGAATTTAATGAAAGTAAATCAAATTATGACATTGTCAAAGAATATTTACAGTTCTCTAATAGTTGTGATGAATTACTGCCTTTTGTGAAAGAATTAGCAAATGCAGATTCTCAAAATGTAAGTTCAAATAATCAGTGTCTTAAATTTCAATTTAATATTGTATTACATATTTTCAGTGATTTTTCTCGTATAAAGTTAAGAGTTTTGTTATAAGTTTTTCAGAAGCTTAAGGTTTGATGCATAACGGTTATCAAATCTAGAAGTAGGTATCTAAAGTGCAATGAATTATGTATTCGTAAGTTACTTGGGGATATTTCGGTATCGTGGTCTGTCACGCCAGCTACAATCGCTAAGGTGCCAAATAGATTTTAAATTTGTGAACTTTAAAAAAAGAAGAAGAAAAAAAGCATGTATATGTTTGCCTGGGGGTTGTTACAAGTTAAAACTTTCGAGTTCCGTTCTGTGATGTTATTTTTAGTTTCTCCTGGGACAGTGTCCGGAAGTTTCCAAGAATAGGCGATTATTCTGCCACAGATCATGATACGGAAATCTCTCCAGTTACTTTACTAGTTTTTTGTAATGCTACCAGTGTTTTCACTACAGCGCGAGAATCTCGCATATTTTTGTTCTTCTCTCGCAATAAAAAATTTTTAACGTGAGAAGTTCGTGCACTCCATTAATCAATTTCAAAATGCGCGAATTTTTGGAAAAAATTTCGTCTTTTGCCATTTTGAATAAAATCCTTTTCACTGTTCTTCCTTGATCTTTCATTATTTTGAACATCGGTCCTTGTTATCTAGCTTCCCTATTTTCGAGTATAGTTCAAAACCGGTGCGAACAGCAGAACACCACTCACCTTTCTCTGCAACCACATGTTCACCGTAGGTAAGGTTTCTTCATGTAAGACGTTTACATTTTTATGTAAGATGGACAAATACCTTGTTAAAGCGACATCTTCTACTCCATAACGGACAAATGAAAAGGAAACAAATGTCGGTAGAAACGGTCAAAACAAATACGGATATTTTTCAGCCAAATAAATATTATAGCTGATGAAAAAGTGGATATAGAACATTTTCCATATGATGATACAGCAAAAATATTCAATTAGAAGATGTTAAAAATGTATTATAATTAAAGAAATAATTTTTTTTCCAAGTCTATTCATGTTTTTTTAATTTTTAGATGTAGAGCATTTAAGATATAGAATATAGGAAAAGTAGATATAGAACATTTTCCATATGATGATGCAGCAAAAATATTCAATTAGAAGATGTTAAAAATGTATTATAATTTAAGAAATAATTTTTTTCCAAGTCTATTCATGTTTTTTTTAATTTTTAGAAATCTCACTTAGCTTTTTTAAATCTCACCCTGTTTTTGAGAAAGGGTGAGAAATTCTCTCCCATAATGAAAACACTGGCTACAAAGTAATTGAACATTGAAGAAACCATGCTTTTATTCACAGTAGTTGAACCATGTCTAATGTTTAAAGATAAAAGTGATATTTTTAAAAGTGTTTAACAATCAATTCTTACTAATAACTATTATTTATGACAAATAATTTTATTATGCAGAGTAATGCCTTCAATTTATGGGAATACAGTAAAATATCTATAAAATGTCTATCCACAATGAAACTTAAAGTTTTGTTTTATGGAATTTTGTATTATATAGATCATTTCACTGATCTTTAACTTTACCTTACTAAATATGGCAATTTTAGTCTGGAAGAGATCAACAGTAAAATGCTCTAAAATAATTTTTAGATACAAATACTTAAAAATACAAAATGTTCTTTTAAATATTTATTATTTACAAAAAAAAAAAAAAAAAGACTAATTTCTTGCAGTGTTTGAAGTAGAAACAAACAAATTAACCAATTTTAGTTTGTTCAGCTTATGACATTTAGCTTATGACATCTTAGCAAATAATTTAAAAAGTTAAAAGTTCTATCAGAGATTTCTTTACTGCAAATTTTATTATTTACACCAGCAAAGCTAATTTGGTTTATGGAGAAGTGCTGCTTATACAATTACATTATGTAGGCCTTCTACTGTACTTCTAAAAACATTCTTAATTAGTAAAAGTTATGTATAACTGTCTCTACAGATGAAATAAAATTTATTAACAGCCTATTAAATTTTCATTGAGACTTGCTATTAAGTTGTCCTTGTATAAAAGTAGATCAAATTGTTCTGCACCTAACATAAATTGCTTATCAGGGGCTATGTCTATTCCATAATTTGAGCACTTTTAGCTTTGGGACTTCTATATAGTTTTTGGAATAGTTTTGCTTGTTTATGTATTAAGTTACTATTATTTATAACTTTTCATTTATTAGCAGAGTTAGATAATGTAGATGCATGCTGGGTGTGGGTGCACCCACAGAAATTCTTAAATTTTGCTGATTCTTTTTAAAAATTTACAAAAGTGATGGCATTTTCATAAAATATAAAAATTCTAGTGTTTTTTTAAAAAATTTTAAATTCTGTTTTTTCCTTATAAAGTTCCATTTTTCCTTTTTATGACGATGGTATTTTTTTGTCACTCTTTAATGAGTAAATGTGTAGTAAAGCCATTTAAAAATAAACATCATGATTGGCTTTAAAGTGGTCGACAAATACTACTTTATGATTCACATTTGATTTATTTGGTGATTTATTGCAATTTACGATTGCTTCATGTTTTTTAAATTTTACAGATTTTTCGCTATTCATATTGAAGTAATTTACAAATTGCACTTAGCATTCTAACAAGTCATACAAGTGATTCTAAGCTCTTAGAAAGATCACAAATAGCACATAGTGAATCATTCTCACACAATTTAAAAATCTCAAATTACACTTTGTTTCCCCACAATTTAAAAATTGCTCATGGAATTTTAAATTCAAAGTTTTGATTAAAAATTCTTTAAAATTTGTTTAAAAGATTGAACTATCCTAGTTGTACTCAATTTGCCATTCTTAAATATCTTTGAATAAATCTTGCTTAATTACTACATCTAAAACTTAATGATTCTAAAGTGTGATTTGTGCATTTTTTCTCTTATATGACTTTGTTTTTTAATATTAATATAGGTTGGTGTGGTTTTGAAAGCTATGTGCCACATTCTTATTCGAGTGGCAGGCGACTTACATGTACATGAAGCAGCTGGAACTAAAATCGTAAAAGATGTGTTACTGCATGGTATGCGACTCATATTTCAATATTTAAGACCTCAAAAGCGTCCTGCACAAGCAAGGTTAGCTTTACATCTTTTAGCTTCAATGGTTGCATTAAGCAAACAAGTAGCTACTCAAGTAGTCGCCAAATTAGATTTCAGTCATGTCAATTTTACGCATTTACTATTCAACACAAATACTAGAGTAAGTATTTATTTTTACTTCTTTTTTATTATGTTAGCTATATTTACACTTGTGTTTGATTTGATAATGAATTGTTTCGGTGGTATATAAGGCACATAAACTAAGTCAGAACACATTTAAATTTTAATTTATAGTTGTATAGAACTTATTCTAAACCTGCTTTGTCATGATTACTTTTTGGCAATAAAACTTCAATTGGGTTAATAGACAAATTTTTCACTTTCATATGTTAGTGTTCCACAACCATATGTTCATAAATGTAGGTTACGGTCAATGAAGGGGGAATTCATATCGTCTCTGTGCAATAATACAAAAAGAAATCAAAATTGGGAAAAAGAAATCAAGTTCAATGCGCAAAAATAGCTATGAAATGTTTTTCTTTCAATTAGCCACGGTTGTTCTAGCAAATCATCCTGCGGCGTGAATCACACTTTTCCTTACATTCTTCTTTAGGTATATGAAAAGTGTTGCATATTTTATTTGTTAATGGGAATGAAAGAAAAATATATAATGTTTCAGTATTTTAAATTGAGCTTTCACCTTTGTGTACCACCATTTCTGTACTTTTCTTTTAAAAAGACCAACTTTTACAATTTAAGTAAAAAAAAAAAAAAAAAACGGCTATAGTGCATAAATGCGAACTCTGACAGAACTTACATATATGAACATGTGGAATACTATGTGAGAGTGCAAAATCGCTCAAATATCTATTTTTCTTTATATCTGTTTTTAATATTTTCTATTTTTAGTTTTATTTTTCTATGAAAAGACCACTGTTTTATATAACATCTGTGAGAAATAGAAATGTGCCATTTCGTATGGAATTGATTGCTTTCCTCTAAATTGTATTTTGCAATCATATTTCCATGGCTGTTAAATTCTACTGGTTTTTTTAGGAGATTGTTAAATACTAGTAAGTACCGTTTCTCCTAATTTAATAGGAAAATCTTTTATTTTTTGTTTTAAAAAACCACTTAAATTTAGAGGCTGATGAAAGCCCCATCAAAGCATTTTATATTTTTCTTACAATTTTATTTTATAGTATTTATAAATTTATTAAAAAAGTTTTTCTTTTCAAAATTAGATATTTAAAGTGCAATAAACTAATGTAAAATTCTATTTCATTGTTCAATCAATAAAAATAGACCAGAAATATTATAGTTAATTTGAATTTTGTCGTTAATTGTGTTAGTACATTATTTTCATGTTTTTTCCTCTTTTTCATTATTATAACAAATTTCTAGATCTCATAATGTTAATCATTGTTTCTTATTCTGATTTTCCCATTTTAATCTAGTTTGTACATCACTAAATCTTCTATTGAACTTTTATTTATGTATTTATTTTTTTTTAAAAATGACTTGTTAAGCAAGTATTTTACTTCGCAAATACCTGGTCATAATCAAATGTCAATCATAAATCATATGATTTTTGTCATTGTTTAAGAAATTTTTGTTATATTTGTCTTATTTTTCAGTATGTAATTTAAAAGCCAATATTTTGCTAAATAACTGTAATATTCCGTTACTGCTATTTCAGTCTATTTGTATAAAGGAACAGGCTATTGTGGCTCATATTTAGTTGGCGGCTCATAATTAGTTATATTTAGTTTTTTTTGTTTGAAGTTATATAAAAAATTCTTTGTTCTGTTGTTTAAAGCTTCTTTATTTGCTTTTCAGGCTGAAGAAGATGTTAGAAGTGCTTTTTTGAATTTATTAGTTTTGGTTATCACTATCTGTGATAATAATGTAATTCGTCAAATTGTGGAAGTTAAAGGTATGCATGGAAATTTTTTATAAATAGCTTCTTTTTAAAGCAAAAGTTTCTGTTTTATATTTCAAAAAGTTTATTGTTGTTATGTTATCGCTCTTTCATGAGGTGCCTCATTTAGTGCTCCGGTGGCGCAATCGGTTAAGGCATCATTTGCATTACTGGTAGTAGTATAGGGGCTAGTGAGTTCAATCTTGACAAAAACAAGTGGCGTGTATATGCGGCAAGATGCATGTTACATGTGTCATGTCTAAAAGTCCTCTCATTGATTGTTGTGTAGAGATTTGGAGAAAAGGGTATCTGCTCAGATTCTGTTTACTCCGTCTGACCAGGTTTAAAGTTTTACGTAGTAAAAGAGTTTTCCTACCAGGCTATTAAAAGATACAGGGGTTGGTGCTTGGCCATGGTTGAGTGATGTGATGTCTGGTGGTGCTTTATTAAGTGTTTTGTTTTCAAAGTTTAGTAATAACATTTTCAAGATTACTCATTAGCTATATTTACATTTTATCATCTGTTTCAAATATAACATTGTTTTATTTTTTTACTAAAAAAAGTAATTTGCTCATAATTTTTTTTTATTTTTGAATTTTAAGTATTTTTTTTTATATAAAATATTATCAAAAGCATTTTTAAATTTAAATTATTGTTTGTTAAGCAATTGACTTAAAAATGGTTGCTTCAGTCATTATTTAACATTAATTTTTGGAAATAAAAATAAAAATTTATATTTATCAAGCAGCTGTTAATTATCTTGCACTTTTGTCTTTTACTGCTAAAATTAATATGGTGGTTTAATATAGGTAATAAGCCAAATATACAACCAGGGTTCCCGCGGCCTTGAAAAAGCCTTGAAAAGTACTTGAATTTCATTTTGATTTTCAAGGGCCCCTAGAAGTACTTGAAAATGATATTAAATCCTTGAAAAATTCGAAATGACCTTGAAAAGTATCGAAAACTCAGGAAAACAGCCCTATTTCCAGTATTTCTATGTTTAACTTTTGACGCGCGTAAGTGTGAGAGAATGACTTCCCCGTCTTTCAGATGATGACACATACTGTTTGATTTTAGGATTTTATGTAAGTTTGGCTGATTTTAGAAATTTTAAATATTGGGAACTGCGCCAAATTCTGACAAAATCTCGATACTTATTCAGGCGATTTTAATATCAATCATCGATCTTCGTATTAGACTTATTTAAAAATTATGTGTTGCAGGGATGAAAGACTTCCACGAAAAAGCGGAAATCCGCTTTTTTTCCCCAATTTTGAAAATTTCCGACCATGTTCCAAAAACTAAAATTTTTGGGAAGTCCTATTGGAGAAACCCAAGCCGCCCGAACGATAGTCGGATTACCGCGACTTCTGCTATAGAGTGGAAAAGAGTCTAAGCGTTTCGTT